GGGGGAACTATACGATAGGGCGCATGAGCGAATATATATATATGTACAATTGTTCGTGAATAATAAACATTTAAACTAACGTAATAACGCATGGAATGAAAATCGGTTCGAATCGAAGTAAATCGAAGGAATCAATAGGAATAAGCGCGAACCGAGTCGCGGTCCTTTTGCTTTTCCTTAATATATAAATATTTAATGGAAGACGATCGAATGGAAGGCACATTAATTTATATCTATAATTATTTAGAATTTGAACGATGCTTCTTTCCGTCTCGTGAGCGTCCTGCACTTCCGGGTTCGTCCGGCCAATGACGGATCCTCCCGCAGTCTCACCAAGAATTCTCGGTAAACTGGCTAATCCCAAAATAGTCTAAGGATCATTATCAAGATTATCCAGGCCGACCAACAGGACACTCGGGTTAGGAGTAAATCGGGAGTGCAAGGAGGATTTGCAAATGAGAGAGAGAGAGAGAGAGAGAGAGAGGAATCACCAGGATCATCGATGATCCTGATGATCTCAAGATGAAGGAGAGGATCGATCGGTGGTCAATAGACTCTGATAGGACGTAATCTCAGCCGTAACGAATAGGACGGGTGGCGAGGAGGAGGGCCAGCCCTCTGACCTAGCCGGTCATTCGTTTTCGTTCTCGTCGTTGAAATACAAGGAGACTATGGAGTGCTTCTTGCAGAAGGCCCACCACCATCGAAAACCCGAGAGTCCCGTGAAGACGAAGCCAGGATCGCGCTTCCGTCTGAGCTTCTCGACGAAGTTCAGAATCGCGTTAAGAGACTTCTTGGTGCGACGATTGTAAGGACTGACGCTGATGTCGCAGCAGAACTCGAGGACCGAGGCCTCCTCGCTAGAGTTGAGCGCAGCCTCCTCGAGGACCATCATCCTCTTGGACTTGCCGAGTATGTTGTCGTAGAGGGTGCCCTTGGGGATCCCGTACTTGGTCGATGCTTGCGTGAAGCGCATCTTCTGCGTGACCACAGCCTCGATCGCCTCCTTAAGATCGTGTCGCGTCCACGTCGGCGCCTTCAGCTTCAGCAGGCTCGAATAGTCAGCTAGAAATCAGCAGAGGGACTTTTGTCTATGGATGATGATAGGGTCAATGACAAGCTCTCTTTCTCAATCGACGAGTCAATCTCGGCCGCGATGCCAGCGCCGAGTCGATCGTTCCTCAAAGGAACTGCCACGGGGCGCCGATCATTCCTGCGCCTGCTTAGGAGTTAGCCCGTTTGGACTCTAGATTCCAAGATTAGCGTCTATCGAGCAGTAAATTCTCCCTGGGTGCGAAAAACGCGACGGGATCCACGTGCCGCTGCTGCGTACGTGACAATGCGGAGGAGGGGGGCGAGGGAT